ATAATGCCGATCTCTGATTACGGTAATAAAATAGCACTTAACGCATAACTATGAAAAAGACATGCAGATTAGCACATTTAGTTATAGATAGTCACCTTTTGTATCAAAAATCATCATAGAGCCGCGCCGACTTGAAATACGTGAGCTTGCCTAATACAAAAGTTTACTTTATTGAAATTATTTCATTCTTTTTAGAGCGTTTGAAGTCGGTTGTATTTTTTTACAAAAATAAATTATTTCAATCCATGAACGAGTAACCGGGAAATATGCTGTACTAGTGTTTTTATCAGGGAAAAAGTCCATGAATTGTAGGCATACATAATAATTTGTATGGTACCAAGGAATGAGATGGAAAGATCAAGTCATGAAAGCATCTCCAGACTGAGGTTTAATATGTAATAGGTAGGTGATAGAAGAGAATGGAGACAAACTATCGATGAGGCTAAGCCCTCTTAATGTTTCAGGGGCCACATAGGTAAAAAGGCAAGTGTATGCAATTGAAGGTAATGGCTACTTATGACCAGTGTGAAAATAATCACCCAAACACACACCAGGGCTTTCCACATCAAAGAAGTTGTCGTTTACTTATTTATCTTTGGATTTAAAACCCATGCATAATACAAAAACAAGTTTAAAGGTTGTTTTCTTTTACAGCGGAACTCTCAAAATTTTCATTTATGCAGGTAAAAAAAAATTGTGATATATATTTTGTGAAAAATCGCTGCATAATATTTCAACCATAATATGTTTTGAATTTTAAATACAGTCGGTAGCGTCGCGGACTTCGGGCCCAAAGGCAGCGATGTCGTGGGTTCGGATCCTGGTCACTGACACACTGACAGTTCACCTTTGTACTGTACCGGCTCACTCCTTGCTTTGCTGTAAACGTTCCACGCACGGGTGGTTAGTCTATGTGGACGGGCAAAATGCAAGGTTGAGGCCGCCAACCTCTAAAAAAAAAAAAAAAAAAAAAAAAAAAAAAAAACTATTGCCTACTGGTAAGCATATTCTAACTGGTATTCAACTATAGTCTGACTTTAAACTATAATTCAATTCAAAATCTACCTTAGGAAAGCATTTTGTATACAATATTAAAGTATTTTCTAATAGTCATAAAACACAAACCTAATTACTGCTGTTATGTGTCGACCTATTATCTTTATGTAAATTTTTGTATTGCCGTTGATAGATAAAAATAAATAAATACATATTTTTTCCGTTACAATCATGTTTTGGAAACGAATTTCCACAACACCGACCAATTGACATAAAAAGTAATGTCAGCTGTTTTACCACCGCCATTTAAGATTTTATATTGTCCTTTAAATAACGTAGCTCAACGTCAATTGGTAGCGTAACGTTAATCGTGAATACAATACAGACACATATCCGATTTGCAGCTTACATTTATCAATTTGAATATGTATTTACAATATTTATTTAATACACATATTTAATTAATACTTATTAAGTATTAACTATTTATATTCGATTGGTTGAGTTCCGAGCAATCCCTTGTTCTAGGAATCTGGGCTGTAGAACTGTAGAGTGAGTACAAAAACTAATTAGTGGTATAATTTATTATTGGTGGAATAATAACGTAATGTAGAAGATTTAGCAAATGAATTACAGAAAAAAAACATTACAAAATACAAGGTAAAACATGAATTACTAAACTCCCTTCAGTAATTACAGTAATTTGATGATTTGCTTGTATATATTTAGCACATAATAAAGCCATACAATCCCTCGTTAAATAGAACTTAAAAGCATAACTGTCTATGACAGTTTTATCACTGTTTATTTACAATGATAGCGATATGATAAAATAATTACTTGTGTGTATAGTTAAGGCAAACTGTAAACTAAAGACTGTACATGACGAAGGGAAGTTCTCTCGACAAACAAACAAGATGTACAGGGTGGAACGAAGTTAGTGTTAAACATTTTTATGTGGTTAACTACCAAGTGTTCCAGGCAAAATGGCAGCAATTAAATTTTCCATACTCTCACATGTAGGCAGTAAAAGACAAAATAAGATTTTCTCAGTATTCGCTTGGTTAAAAGGACCATAAGTGCACTGAAATTTGCTTTCATATCAACGCCATTGTCATTTCAGAATACTCTTCATATTTCCAATAATAATAGTAAAAGGCCATTTAGATCAAACATTTGTTTAAGCCCTTATTGTGCAATGGAAGTTTGAATTTGTTATTTTTGATAAAACAGCATTAAATTCTACGAAGGCATTTATATGCTACTCTGCACTATAGACAGCGTGAAATAGTACAAAAAAATTCCTCAATTAATAATCATAAAATTATAGACAAAACCCTACTGCTTATTAAATTTTCCGTTCTTAAATCTAAGATCTTCTCTTGAAAAACACGGAACCACTTAAGTTGCATTTCCTATAATAACATGTATTTGATTACATAATATGGCAATAGCTGCATTGATTATGGATTTTATTGACATGTTTGTACTATTTACAAACGATCTATGTTTAACTAATGCTTGGTTTTCATGGCTAAAGCGAATTAACCGATGATCTAAAACGCTATGTGAAGACTTTGACGTCAGCTAACGATGAACACACACCGTGATCATGTACTGGACTCTCTTTCATTATACATAGTTAGATAGTTATACACATAGTTATGTACATATTTACACATGGTTACATATTTTATGGACGATGAACACTCATTATACAAATATTCGAGTTTAAAAGATATGTTTGTGTTAAAAACCTCACTTTTATTTGTAAACAATGTACCAACTGATTACAAAATACAGTTTGCAGTTAACTTATTCAGTTAATGTGAATTTGTTTACATGTTAAATCGTTATGACAAACGCAAGAGAAAATTGAATATAAGTTAGTAATAATCGTAGTTAAATAAAATGATCAAAACAAGCGATTTTTACAATAAAGGTGTTAGTGCAACACAAACAAATTTATAATTTTTATATGTATATCGTTTGTTTGTACTAACAACACTGTTATTTTGATATTTGCATTTTTCTGCCGTAAAGCTTTTTCGATATCAAAAATTAAAAAGTAGTAGGTAAAGTATTTTTTTTAAATTATTTAACAAATGGACATCTCTATTAACAGATAACGTAAACTTAATATGTCTAATTATCACACATGATATTGATCGGTCCTAAAATGTACTTATTATTTATTATTATTTATTAAACATTATTTATGAATATACGATATTACTACCTATAAATAGAGTTTGAAAGTCTTAACTAAATAGATCAAACTAGTTGTTTCCAGTTAATAATATTAACTATATTTCAATATCATTAAACAAATATAAATAACCTTTTAACTTATCACTACGAAAAAAAGAAAGAAAATCTTTTAAAAAGCTAAACTCCTAATTACAATAAATAAAAATGTTAAGCTCGATACTGTTTTAATAAAGGTTCTAACAGAGTAGGCTTACAGAATACTGACTTACAGACCAGTTAAAATTGTCATCTTACTTTTAAAATGTCAAATGAGAAACTCTTCCCATACTATGTTTTTTGTTAACACTCTAACGTCTTTAGCCAGATGACTTTTGTTTCGTTGTTCTTTAACCATTATTTTTAGATCATTAAAAGCGCTGCATATTTGACATTGCTACGTACAATGCCCCATGCTGAAAGCAGGGCTCTGGCATATAAAGACCAACTTTTTCAAGTGCCTGTCCTTGACTTTTTTAATGGTTATGGCAAAAGAGATTCGACATGGGAACTGTCGACGTTTGAATTTTAGGGGAAAATTTTCGTCTGATGGTTCTAAACTTAATTGGGGCAATAACACTCGTTTTCCAGCCGAACTTCCAGTAACAATTTCAAGATTTCGGACTTTGTTATTCATCTCTTCACCATTAATCTGGTTCCATTAACCAGCCATTTTTGTGGATCCTTAGTCAAATTACAATTACACCTTTTTAAAGGCATAATTTGCGAGGAGGTAAACCCCTTGGTGGTAAAGTGTGAAGAAATTCATCAGGTACATGTAACTGGTCTCCCTCTTCTTGAATCAAAGTGTCCACTGAATAGTAAACTCGACTGTCATCATTTAGTTGCTCAACTATTTTATTATTAATTTCGTCACAATGTTCATTCTTTGGTGAAAGTATTGCATGATTTTTTTTCTTTTTTTAAAGCATCTTTAGTCGCAAGTCTTTTAAAGCAAGATTTTGTCAATGATATTTTCATTCACAATTGTGGTGGAAGACGTATCAATGAATCACCAAGATCATTATGATAGCTCTCATGGCCATTCCTTATTCGTGAAAGATATTCAGCAAATATTGATTTGCTTGGATTAGCTCTCATGTTTTTAGCAAGTGAAATATTGGCCATAAAGGTGATCTATCCATTTCATCAGTCATCATTATATTTGAAAGTAAACTGATAAATAAACATAAAAAGTAAATATTAAAATGATATAAGGGAAAGAGGTTATTTTTATGAAGACAGATGTTTTTAAAAGGAAATTAATCATATGTTTGATAAACTTAACTAAATTTTCACTTATATTTAAAAATACATGGAAACTTTAAAGTCCGATGAGGCGAAGTGCATTGAACTGAGCGTAACAAAAATTATTCCATGACTTCTACAGATAATTCCCTTTAATTTGACACATCAATCATCAAAATCGGTTAATAAATAAAAGAGTTTTGCTGTGCACAAGAAATTCCTTACGGAATTAGAATAATAGATTTTCACTTATATTTAAAAATACATGGAAACTTTAAAGTCCGAAGTAAAATGTACGAAGAATTTCGAAGCTATCTTTAAATGAATGATTTAAATGATTTAAATGACTTTTAATGAAAATATACACAAGAATTCAGCATTTTTATTATTACATTTGTATCATAATAAAAAAAATAATGTTATATAATGATATTCTATTAGTTTTTCTGCAGAATAATAAAATGTTGTTAAGGTAATCTTAATTTATATGCTTCAAATTAATAAAATACCTTGACACATTACGGAGACTATATGAAGCAACGCTAGTAGCAAGTAGATTGTAGAACTAGTCATATTTATGCAGATTAGAGAAGACATGATACACTCACTTTCACATAAAACCTACAGTAAAACACGTGTTTTAAAACGGAAAAAAGTTTACTGTGTTCGATGTCAACACTACGGCGCACGGCGCAATACTGGCCAAAGCAAACCTGTGCTGTCTGTCAGTGCTGCCAACGTACAACATTCCAAAAAACAAATTTCCCTAGATTCCCACCTGAGCGCAAGATCATGATACACTTTAATTGTGGTCTCCGAGTGAAAAACTTTATAGAGTCCTACGTGTAATTAATTATTTACAATCAAGTTAATCCCGGCAAATAGTTTGGACCATTATAACCATGTTAATTATATTGCAAATCGAACGTTTTGTATACAATTTAATACCCCCCCCCCCATTTATTCGGTGTTTCAACATATTCTAAATGTACTTCGTTTTTATAAAAAAATTACTAGCTTTTCTTATACCAAGGATATAATTTACTCACTATAGTATTTGGAGAACAACTACATTAAATTAAATTACAATGGAGTATATTGTTTATAACTTATCGATACATCAGAGGATTGTTTATAAAGTCATAATTTCATCTAAAAAAAAAAAATTTGTAGGAAGCTAGTAAATACCTTCCCTGATTAACAGTTTAAAGCTTTTAGATTTATTCTAGCTTGCCCGACAGACGTAGTCCTGTCTTAATGTGGATTTATGTCAAATGCTCGTTCATTTTCAAGATGAGCTCGTTCGTATCACTCAATCACGTCCTGGATGAAGTTCGTTCGCTACGCTCACTCACCTTCTCGTTGGAGCTCGTCAACTTTGCTCACTCACCTTTAGGTTTAGCTCGTTCGCTACGCTCACTAGCCTCCAAGTTGAAGTGAGTGAGCTAATGTAAAGGCAATTTTTTTGGAATTTTAAAATTCAAATTACTAAATAACGGTTGGATGGATTAAAAATTTCACTCCTTATTCACACACTATCAAAAATTATTTATCAAATTTAATACATAAACATAACTGTAAACAATCCTACTTTGACAATTCAAATTTTGTAACACAGCTGCTTGGTTGAAATTCGCAAGTGTTTTCATAAATTTAGACAATTATTAGTGCCAAACCCTGTTTGTACATTTTGTTACCTTTTAATGATATTGATCATCACAGAATAAAATTGTTTATTTGAAACAGCTGTTTCAGATTCTTAAATTCCATTTAAATATGAGTACTCATAAGGTTAACATGGGAAACTCCAGAGCCACTGGGGCGGAGCCCTTTTGCTGGATCTGCACCAAACCTCACTCAAACCATCCTTGAATAATGCTTAATAATGCCTGAACGTTCCAATTTCAATCTGTCAAGCGGTTTCGGAGTCCATAACGTTCAAATATAAAAACTTCCTCTTTTATATAGAAATACAACCCTAAAAATACATTAACTCTACTAAAATGTTAAATAGTTATACGGTTGCACTATTTCAGAATGGTAGTAGAATAATCTTGATACGGAAGTAGTATTTGATTATATATTCGATTATTCTGATATTTATTTTATAGTAAGACAAATAATCTCTATACACTTTGTTTTAAAAGATAAAATGATATGCAATACTGCAGGGGTTCTATATTTGCACTACAAGACTGCTAAACTCTGTGCTGTAGATGGTCAAATACGTCTTTTTATTAGTTTATAGGCCTTGGTTTAAACCCCGTTTTTATGTCCTAATACAGCAAATTGGGCAGTGCAATAGCCGTTGGTTAATGCCCTACCGTAGATCCTGCTTAAGCTTCTGTACCATTAATACTAGTTTGGCGTTGTAACGCGACAGCCAAAATTGGCCAGGAAATAAATAGACGGCTATTTGTTCGCCCAAGAAGACAAGTGTGGTACACGTCTACATAAACTGTATCTTTTGTCAATTACACGATTTATTTAGTCATTAGCCTGAAAACCGTAATTTAAACTAAGTGGTTTTACATCACCTTTTATCAGTTCCAAATGATAACCTTGGTCAAAGTGTTACATATATTAGCAAGGTGCCATTGCCAAACACTTCTTTACATGAATATACATGAACTTCGATTGAATATGTTCGTTTTCAATACACGTCATATACATTTAACACACGACACGAACGACATATGGATAAACGTTTAGTTCTATTTATAGTTATAAATAGTTTTAGTGCTGTTCTCGCTCTGTAGCGCAATATTTCTTGCCAGTGATAGGACACCAAACTAAAAGTATTTATTTATATATCTTGCGTGCCGTGCGTTAAATGTTTTTGTCTTGCATTGAAAACGAATCAACATTAACATTTGTCTTGCAATTCAAGCGGAAATAATGCATATTCCTAGACCGAATTGTTTGACAATGGCAGCTCACCGAAACATGTATCAAATTAACGAAGGTTACTATTTGGAAGGTCATGTAAAACCAATTTGTATATATTATAGTTCTAGGGCTACAACAATGAATTTAGTTTAGACATGTAAAAATTGGTGAAATAATGTACGTTCACCTATCGTACCTAATGATGATTGGGTTATCCAATCATAATTAATCATCACTTATCATCGTTTATATATAGGCCAATTTCCCGACCTTGAGAGTGAAAAGTACAAGTGTATTATAATCTATTTCAACCTTTCTTAGATCAAATTTTATTTACTTCTCGTAAAGAACGTTGTGCTAAAAATGTTTAGTTTGTATTTGTTTATTTGCCAAAGATAATACAGGTCAACTACTGTTATCTTAGTAAAAATTGTTCAAAACTATGAAATGTAGAATAGCAGCTTTTTTGTACGATACAAATAATTAATAACCCTAGTATTTAAAATTTTAACATTATACACTGTAAAATTATATAATCAATGTCAAGATCAATTAACGTAAAGAAATCTTATGTTTGAATCTGATATGTACAATGAGTTAGGTTTAGCAATACCTTTTCTTATATGTGGCGATACATTCAAATTTTTACTAGAAATCGCTACTAATAATTAATTAGTTTGACTAATTGAATTGCTAATAATCAGGTAAAGATTGTCCTTGTATATCTACCATAATATAACTAGTACCACGTTTAAAATTTAATTATGTATATTTTTATGATCTCTCAAATGGTAATTAGTTGAAATGCACTTAAATATAATACATTTTATTATATTTATAAAAGATTTTGAAAAAAGCGTTGAGTAGCAATTTCAGTTCATTCACGTTGTTAAGTAGGATGAAGGATATTTCCTTCTCCTTCGTTATAATATAACTCTAGGAGAAATAAATCTTTACTTGTAAACTGTACTTGTAAAATCTTTACTGGGAGTAAACAGTGATCGAAAACTTCTGTCAGAAAACACATTTCGTAAACAACACTCACGGGAGCTGTTGAAACTTGTTTAACACCAATGTTTATATTTATTATTACCAAATCTCAGTTGATATTCCTTCGAGGATATTCAAAGGAAAACTAATTATTAAGGTTAATATTAATGGATTTCTAATGAAGATTTTTTTTTATTCAAAACCAATAAAATGTTAATAATGTACTATGGTTTTTTTATATGTATTCAGTACACGCGTTTCTTCATATTTTATACCATGCAAAACTGGATTAGTGTATTAGTCACTTATTTACTGATAATCAATCAAAGCAAAGGTTTTTACCGCCAATGTCAATTATTAAGATTGGTAAGTATCTGATTTGTTTATACTATAAGTCTGAACAGAGCATGAAGTATAGTGATAATTAAAGCAATTGATTTCTTTTAATTGTAAATCCTTTACTTACGATTATTGTCTATAGCACTTGCATTACTTGATTTCTAGTTGTTTATAAGTAAATATTTTCAAACTAGTTGATAACTAGGTTAAAATAATCCATACTTGACGTTGAAATGTGAATAAATATTCATTGGTTAAAAATAAACAGAGTTAAATTGTTCTACAGACGGAAAACATTTTGTAGAAAAAAACTAATTATTCTTAGAATGTTGTTGAAGCATTGTGTGTTCTATTTATTACTGTAAAGACCTTAATTATAGTATAAATTTCAAGGAGGTACAATTATTTACTTATAATTATGGTATCACTAATATGAAGTATGTAATTGTTTAGGATTTGATCTTGAACTCATGCTTCAAAACGTTAAATAAAAACATAGTACTGTTCCCTAATATAAATCGTCGTCCATATTTAATTTAACTTTAATATTTAATCCTTTTACAAAAAGAAAATAAAAGTATTTTTGGAAATGAAATTATTTTAAAAATAAGTATGCGTTGAAATCATTTTGTAAGTATCGTAAACAGCATTTTTTATTCATCTGTGTTTTATTTAACCAAAAGTCTTTCCAAAAATTAGCTTATTGTAGTAATTTTGTCAATCCGACTCTGAATATTATATAAGCTTTTGGTCCAAACAAGACTGTTACTGTATTATTCAGTCTTTTCAAATGTAAAACACATGCTCTTTCATTGTGTGAGAGTGCGAATGGTGTCAGACGTCTAGACAAGATGGGAAAAAGAGATATATAATGTGCCTAATCAATCTTGCTATCAAAAACCTTTAAATATTTGGAAATAAATTAATTTTTAGTTGTAAAGATGTGTTGCTGTAAAACGAAACAAAACAATTATAATTGTATTATAAATATAGCAAATCTATTGCTTATAAAAATATTTCTATGTTTTCAATATGGGTAGTTGCAGGTTATGTGGTATATGAATACAATATAGTACGGTTTGTGTTTTCACTATACTGTGTAATCTTTCGTGGACTAGCGATGAATATATCCCTTTTTACCAAACAATTAAATGCTAATGGTCTTTAAAAATCTTTTTGTTGTGTATAACCTATACCACATTAGATATAAGTGTGTACCATATATAATTTGGTAGGGGACATATTTTTTGTTTCATATATTTTGTGGGTTCAGTAATACATTTTCACAAATTCTATGACTGGTATAACACCAAGATGAACTTTACTCACCCATAGTCAATTTTGGGTATCGATC